AGCAGTGAGTTTGAAGAGCATGCAATTTGTATAATTCACTCTCGTAATTACATTGTGATCGACAACCTACTCCTACATCTACTATTCTTTAGCACAAAATAGCTACCCGATCACAATTCATTTTCTGCGTCTATCAGCGCTTGGTGGTTTAGTTGGTCGGTACCACGGTCTATATCTACTAATATGTGAAGCGGTGCCGATCTTACATTTCAAGATAATATGCCCTTTTATATCTACTAAGCCAGGTAAATTTTAGAGAACACTAGCATCTCAGAGCGTATTCTGATTGACCCATTGTGGCGTCATTTAGGGTCACTCCGTTACAATCAGCAATAGCGTAAATTGAGTCGCGAAGTCTAAAAGCCGACGTATTGATGCAGCTCACGAAAAAGTCGCTCGTGTGGGCCTAAGAATGATTTTGCTAGCAGCAAAAGGTTTTGTCGTCTTGATCAATACAGAGGCGACTATCGAGACTTTGCCATAAATCGAGATGACACTCAGTTCCAAAGGCGCATTCTCGACTTCATTTTTCACCAAACCTACTCTTCGCAATTATAAGAAAAAGCTTGCCTATCCAACAGTACAAAGCTTACTAGCACACATGGTAGTGTCTACAATGTACGCAATAAGACCAAACGCTACTCATTCGTCATATTGCAATTCCGTTCTTTTCTTTTTTGCACCTCGAACCTCATTTTTATCTGTTCTGCTGGATCCAAAAGTGACAATAAAATGAGCTTCGAGCCATACGCCGCCGGCGCTCGAGTCGCAATCGACAGCGCCCCAAAGCGCCCGCACTTGATCCAGCGTCTTCTTTACAGCTCATACGATACTTCCGGACTTCTCTTCGCTGGATCGTCGGATGGCTCGCTGCGCAGTTACGAGGTGGACGAGCGCGTGGGTGTCGTGCGCTGGCAAGCAGACCACAAACGGCTTTTCCACGCGTCTTGCGTCTTTCTGGACAGCTGGGGAGTGTTTATTACTATATTAGATAGTCGTCTCAAGATCTTTGATCTGCCGTTGCGGTCGATTGACAGCAGTGTACTGTGGGACGACACGAAGGGCGCCGTGCTCTTTGCGGTTCACGAACAAGTCAAGACACTCTGTGTATTGCTCAAGTCGAATGCACTGAAGGTCTTTGACTGGACAGTAAACAAGCGCTTGGCATTTCGTACAGAACTTGACCTGATGGCCGTACTATTGCCCGTGCAGCAGCTGGTAATGATGAGTGAAAGTTACGTGTTTGTTCAAGGAAAGAGCGACTGGGGCGTGCTTGATCTTTCCACTGGCAAATTGATCGATAGAAAGGGCATCAAAGAGCGGGTAGATGATGCCCTCGGAGGAGCTACAGGTGCCTGCGACGCAGTGCCGCTACCTAGTCGGCATTTGCCTCGACGACTGCAGCACCTGATGGATATATTGCTGTGTGGCAAACGTCAAGCTGTGATCCTTGGGATACATCATTGTGACGAGACGACTGATGTAGCAGAGGAAGAGAATGATGTCTATGGAGCTTTTCTTCACAACGAGGTCACGACAGATGACGCGAATAAAGGCGACACATTCGATTTGTCCAGTCGTCAACTGTGTCTAAAAGTGGAGAAAGTCATCACGTATGACATGGTGCCGCGCCAAGTTTTTTATCATCATCCGTTTTTGCTGATCGATCAGGTGGAGCACATCGCAGTGTTCAACTTTGGCTCTTTGCAAATCGCCCAGATCATTCCAGTGAAGGGGCTTCACGGCTTATGTGCTATAAGAAACGTCGCGTCTGCGACGACCGAACCGAGTGCGCACGTTATAAGTGACCGTCCGGCGACTTTACTCTCTGTGTCACCACCATTTGATGTTCAGGCACACCAAATGTTTCCGATCGCACAGCAAGTTGCTGCTTTGATAGAAAACTGCCATCTTGAAAGCGCTGTCGCTCTTTGCAAGCTTTGCCCGAAGGAGAGTTCATTAAGTGACGCCGAGAAACGGAAGCTGTACGCTGACTACGGTTTCGAGCTGTTTTGTTCAGCGCGTCGAAAAGAAGCGGTAGATTTATTCATTGAGATTGACGTTGACGTGATGGAAGTACTGCTACTTTTTCCGCAGAATCTGCTTCCTCGCAAGACCAGCGCTTTACGCAGAGCCGAAGGTAGCGCCGACGACGGACGCGTCTTGAACCGTGAAGATCTAGTGGACGGTCTATTGGCCCTCATTGGGTATCTGCGCCGTAAGCGGAAGGCTTATTTGCATTCGGATATCGTAATTTCTGCGTCGGAAACACGCACACGATGCAGCCTTACTGCTCGCGAAGAGAGCGCACTTGAATTGATCGACACCATGCTGGTCAAATGTCTAGTCGTGGTGTCTGAACAAGCGGCGTATGCTAAACGGGCAAAGCATGTACTACTTGAGGTGGTAAGATACCAGAATTGGTGCGACATTAGTGAGGCTGAGGTATTTCTTCGAGCTCATCGACAATTTAAGGCGCTGCTTGCCCTTTACTCTACTCGGAGAGTGCATCGTAAGGTGCTTGAGCTATTGGAAAGTCTTGAGCGCAGCGCGGCGTCAGCAGCTATCATGTCTAAACAAAACCAAACAAACCGAGAAGAGGAACAAGTACAAAGCTCGCATGATTTGCTATCCTCACATGACTACATGGTGCTTATCGCACAGTACCTTCGCGCGCTGGGCAAAAAGCATGCTGAGCTGGTATTTGAATTTTCACGACGTATCTTGTCGGTAGATCCCGCGCTTGGGCTCTCAATCTTTACACAGCGCGAAGTACCCGACCTGACGACTGACATCGATCCGGCTGTGGTCCTTCAGCACCTCAAGAGTTCTTCCGTCGCTTCTCCAAGCTCTGGCTTAAATTCACCAGAGCACATTGCGGACGATACAGCAAAACTAGTTTTGCCCTTGCACAGCAGCCAAATGTTGGCGATCGAGTATCTTACACAACTCATCTGTGAGAGAGGGCGTCAGCTAACACCGCGGTTGCATGACGAGGTGGTGTACCTTCTGCTCGATTCGATTCAGGCCGAGACGTCGCAGAAGCAACGACTAACCAGTCGTGCCGAGGCACAAGGTGATATGACGGGACTACTACGCCGAAAGTTGCTACAGTTTCTTGCATTTCCTGAAGCCGCCTATCATCCGGAACGTATGTTGAGCCGTACACCCATCGAGATGGTGAGTGAACACGCGGCGCTTCTCTCAAAGCTTGGACGTCATCGCGAAGTACTGCAATTGTATGTTGTAAAATTGCGAGATGCCGATCTGGCCGAGGCGTACTGCAATCGATGTTACGAGTCGAAGACGGCCAATTCTTCCATCTATACAATCTTGCTGCAAATCTACTTGCACCCCCAATGCCACATGGATAGCCCGAGGTCCGATGCTGCGTCAACGGACACCAGCTCCGAGCATCAATTTCCATCAAGATCTTCTGGCTGTAATATGCAGATTGAGGCTGTAAACGAGGCCATCAGGTTGCTGAACAAACACGCTGAAAGGATTGACGTATCAACGGCTCTCGCACTATTGCCGGTTGAAGTCGCCGCGGCATCTCTGGCTACCTTCTTTCGTCACGTACTGGAGCGTCAAGTGCAACGGAGTCGCACCGGACAGGTGAAGAAACAGCTTTCAAAAATGGAGAATTTCAAGGTTCGAGAGCAGCTTTCCACAAAACGGAAAGAGTCCGTCACAGTGTGGTCGTCGCAGCGCTGCCAGTCTTGCGGTAAAAAGCTTGGTGTCGGCACCTTCGTGCGTTTGCCTGGTGGAGACCTGTTGCACTATTCTTGCCAGCCCACTCGACAGGTCGGTGTTTTGCATGTCTTGGGATTGAATTCTTGAGCGTCGCAGGCAATACACGATATTGACCAGCATTCAGTAAGAATAGATGGTAATATGAGTCAGGGTTGTTGCGAAGAATCTCCATGCGCTTCGTAAAAGACGTAAATAGGTGTCACCAAAGTTTTTTTGCTCTCTAATTTGTAGCTTGTGTTTTCTATGCCATCACGATCGACATACGTGTGCCAATAAACGACGATGTAAGGCCGGTCCACTGAGTCCAAGGCCCAGCTTTCTTTGTGCATGTTAACATCATCTTGAACATCGTCCTGAAATCGTCTTGGTCCTCAGGAAAAGACGCCCGTGGTATGTTGACGTCACACTTGCCTATTGCGTACAATCCGCTCCATAAGGTCAAGGTCCGAAAAGCGTTCTTGGAGATTATTCAACAATTACTGTCAAGTTATAAGTTGTCAACTTCGTGACGGGAGCAATTGGCGTCATCAAAGTTAAATGAAGTGGACGTCGCGCTATGCGGTCATTGCACCAAAAAGTATCAGTTTGTCGCAGGACTGCTTAACTAGTGTGTGCTTGCTAGGCGTACGACTGCGGATTGCACCAGCTTCCTGTATGCCTGCAAACATCTGACCAATGGGTGTCACAGGATACCACGACGTTTGATGCAGATGAGAAACCGCTCTTTGACGCTTCGAGTGCGGGCGTCTACATCTTCTGAGCTGCTTGGAATGTCAATCACTTGCAAGAACGATTGGTAGGTCGGCTGAACACTGCAGAGGGCGTGAAACGATTTGTCCGCAGGGCAAAAAGGTGACGGTGGACAAAGCCACGGGCCAGTGCGCGACTGATCGGTGTGCTTGATATGCTGACGCTGTCAGTGGTATCTCAGCTCTGTGACCCCCATGTCGGTTTTGTACTGAGATTTCCTGTGATAGAGTTGTGTCGTCGGACTCTACTTTAATTTTTAGAAGGCGGCTTGTGCACGCTCGAACTTAAGGACAGACGAGACACGAGGTCATGTCATGTAGATCATGCAGAGCGGATGATAGATAAGAGGTCCGAAACGGTCACGTTCCAAGGACGAAGTTACGATGTGCGGGACGCTTTTTGCACCTTGGTAGCGGCCGGTTTGCGCATTCCGCTGGCCACAATGTCGCCGGCACTCTGTTGATTCAATTCATGTGGAATGGAAGATTTGGATGCTTTGTGTACCAGAGCGAACATTTGCGCTTGAACAACAACTGATGCTGCAATGTATCAGAGCGTCTTTAGGCGTGAGTAAGCGCTTGTGGAATTCGAAAGAGAGCAGAGCGACAAGGCGGTGATAGAACGGACGCAATAAGCAGGCACCAACTTGTTGAGGCCAGTGTCACCATGGCGGTAGAAGATTGTGTACAATGTCTGGAAGAGGCGCTAGAAGGCGAATGTCGAGTGGGTAGTCACACTGACTTTCTGCAAAGTCTTAAGGACTATGTGATTATGTGGACAAGGACTGCTTCGATCTATGACGTGCTTGCCGATCGGTGCAGGCGCAGACATCGAGACGGTGTAGCACTTGCACACGACGATACACAATTTGTAACGGAGCAGCCCGTTACATGAAATTGTCACTTTAAGGAAAGTGACAATAAAGAATATAAAGATGGATATTCTTTAAACAATATCACCAAAGTGGTGATATTGAAGGGTCGACCAAAGGGTCTGTTCATTGGTTGATATCGTGATGATATCAACCCACCAATCGCCGCAAGACGCGCGCATGAGTGGCGACGAGACGTCACCATACATCCAGTTAAATTAATATAGTTGAACTAAGTCAAACGAAGAGACAGTAGTTTAAAGACTTAATTATATTAATATAACAGTTCTACTTTTACCCTACCTACG